AAGTTTTGCCCACAAGTATCCACGATTATGGTTTTAGAGTGTATATAGTGTAGAAGGTTTAACACACTTTTCCAGGACTCTGTAGCAACATGTGTAAATGAAAATGAAATGGAGCAAAAATAGCAATAGCTAAAGTAGCAGAATTCTGTAGTAAAGTACAAAAGCAGTGACCATAAAATGCACAGGGTTTCCATGAAGTGCTTGGATGGAAACAGCCCCTTCCAGGGAAAAGGGCATCATATTGATCTATTACCACAAACCAAGCTGCCAAAACATTTACTGCTGTTTTAGTGGCTCCATTAATTGTGCCAACTGTAATAAAACCTGATCAAGCTGGATCGATTAAAGACTGACCAAGTATGTGCCTCTACCAGAAGAATACTGAATGCAATCCATGTAAGCAATGTTAAAATGCCACTTTTCATACTATTAGTGAATAGAAGAAAAACCTTTGCAAAGTGGAGTGGCCTTATATAATACTATCTTTTAAAAATGGAAAAAAGGTTGATCAGCAGGATACAGAAATTAAAAGCAGAATCTAATTTGAGACTTAGAACAAAACGCAAGATAAAAGACGTACCAGAGAGGAATGCTTCCTGTTCCTTCTATGGTTCACCTTTGCTATGGGGCACTGAGGCATGGCAGCCTTTCATAATCTGCCCCCCCCCCCCCAGTTTTTGTGGGCATCAATCCCATCAGCAGAGCTTATGGTCAGGAATTCTGGGAGTTCTTGTCCAAGAGGGCACTAAGTTGGAAATGCTGAGAAGTAATCTGAAAATCAAAAGGCTGCCAAAATGGCGAACAACATAAGACCAGTTTATTTGCTTATGCTATTACTTTACCACTAATAAATCTGAGAGATACCATTCCAGAGGTGATAACAGTTGTCTCAGAATTGGGTATAGAACTGGCTTAAAGACCAGTTCCACAAAATCAGAAATACTCTAGTCATATATGAGATCTAGCAAATTATAAAAGTTTGCTATGGATATTTCAATGTGTCCTAATTCTGTAAAGTATCCCTGTGTTCATACTCCAAAAAACCCTACTCCTCCAAAGAATTTTAATTTCATCCCTATCATTGAACTAAAATTTACTCTAGCTGAGCAGAAGTTTAACAATAACATCAATCCTATCGAAAATTACATTTGTATTTCAAACATTTCCTGTTGAGTAGCATCAATGTTGGACTGATGTAGAGTAGATCCATTGAAAAAATGTCTCATTTGTCATTTCACTGAGTCTGCTCTGTGTAGGACTATGCTACCCCCTGATGGCAAACACTCATAAATTATTTATACTCAGGGGAAATGCTCCAGAATATGTATAATCATTAATCACTATACATATAAAATGCAAAACATGGCAGATTTGGGTGTATTCAAATACAAAATGGCATGATGATGTGTTCCTATGGCACCACCCAGTGGTTATTATGCAAAATACAGATAAGTTAATTAAACAGGAGGGCACCAAGTTGGGAGAGGTCTAGTTGGAGTGCCACATTTTGTACCTGTTCTTAAGTAATCTGACAAATCTGATAAATTGGACTATTCTGACTGTTTTGTTCTAGGATTTGTACAAATCAAGGTCCTGAGTGATTAAAACAGCTTTTCCCAAACTGGTATCGGCCATATGCCATAATATTTTTTTAAGGTGCCATGAGATTCCTTCCTTGCTTTTGCCACAATAGGCTAATATCACTACTTTCTGGGAACAGGTAGAACTCCATTACTGGGATAAATTTAACATAACATTTTGTATATACTGATCCGGTTTGCACAATCACCCGCAGTCCACCATGTCTTATTTGACAGACAATGGATTGCAGTAGGTGCCTGCAGCCATTTCTGTTGTTCTTCCTTAGGTTGGGGGTTGCCTGAGCATTAAGCAGTTCTCAAATAACACATTTATTTATTTATTTATTTATTTATTTATTTATTTATTTATTAAAACATTTTTATGCCGCCCCATTCGCCGAAGCCTCGGGGCGGCTTACAACAAATAAGTTAAATAACATTTAAAATATATACATTAAAATAAATTACGAATATACAATATAAAATAAGCCGCCCTGGCCAGAAAAATTCAATAATATTAACATTTAAAATGCTGCTTGAATAAAAAGGTCTTTGCCTGGCGCCGAAAAACAAATAACGACGTCGCCAGGTGGACCTCTCTGGGGAGCGCATTCCATAACTTAGGCGCCACCACTGAGAAAGCCGTCCTCCGAGTAGCCACCCTCCTAATTTCTTTCACGGAGGGCTCCCGGAGAAGGGCCTCTCCCGCCCCCTGAGATCGGCGGGA